TCACGAAGAGGCAGTGTCTGTTAGGACTGATCAATTGCTCTGGGAGCAAACGGTCTTTCCTCGTCCTCCTGTGGGCAGAGGGGATCCGTGGTGACTCACCAGCCAAGCTGCAGCCAGGAGGATGCCGGGCTGATAATGAAGATGTGTGGGCCCCGTGGGCTTGCAGCACCGCACACCTCTCCCCAGGGCCGCTTGGCCTCGCGGGCTCCTCATTCTTCCGCGCTGGGTGGCCGTGGTGTCCTGTGCGGACCGGGAGAGCCAGGTTTGCCTCGGTGAGCCCCCTGCCTCAGTTTCACTGTGTCCCCCACAATCCCCTCACTGGCCTCTCCATTTCTGATAGAATGCCTGTAGCAGCAAAGAGCTGCTTTTGCCACTGAAATTACCCCCATGGGCAGGACAAAAGAGCCCCCCCATTCCCTTTCTGCGATAATGCTAACATCCTCCCCCCATTTCCCACTTGTACCCTTTAATTTCCGAACAGAAGCGGATGCATTTTTCCTAAAGACAAATGGACACTGAGAATCTGTATAGTTGGAGGGGAGGACAGGGGCCCCTCACAGCAGATCATAACAGGCTGCAGGCCTTTCTCCTGGGGCGACTGTGAAATCCTATCAGAAGTGAGTGGTCTAAGGTGGGTGGGGGTCGGGGGTGGGGGAGGAGCACAGCACGCATTTTACCTCCTGTTTCCTCTTCCAAGCTTCCTTTAAGACAGCGGTTCTCAACCTGTGGGTCACGACCCCTTTGGCGGTCGAACGACCCTTTCACAGGGGTTGCCTAAGACCATCCTGCATATCAGATATTTACATGACGATTCATAACAGTAGCAACATTACAGTTATGAAGTAGCAACGAAAATAATTTTATGGTTGGGTCACAACATGAGGAACTGTATTTAAAGGGCCAGAAGGTTGAGAACCACTGCTTTAAGTCAATTTTAATGCAAAGCTGAAAACAGGAACATTAAACCCAATACTTTTTACCAGGTTAGCTGTATAAATAACAGTCCATGTACCTGCCATTTAATTGTCGATTGATTGGTTGATTGATTGATTCATTCATTCATGTGTTCATCAAGCATCCTTGAGCACTTCTTGCCCACACCAGGCCGGGCACCAGCGAGACAGCAGAGAATTGATCTCCCTCGAGCTTATTGGGGCCCATCCTCTCCAGCCCGTTTGCTCCGGTCTTTCCCTGAGATGCTGGTGGAGGCACTCACCTGTCAGACGTTAGCTCTTTAAGAGAACACGATTGTTTTTAAAGCTTCCTATCCCTTACTGGATTTCTTGCAGTTTATAACTCATGTGCTGACGTGACTGGTGGGATGTCTGGTCTGACACATTTGCTCATATCAGGTAGGTGTCGGGGAGGCTCACAAGTTCATGGGCAAGGTTAGATTTTGAAGGTGCCCAACAGCATGGAAAGATCAGGCAGTATTTAATAAGCAAGTTCAGCCACCACGGTTATTCCCACCAACTCCACACTCACCTCATTCGGTTCGAGTTGCGTGATTGATTCTGGGTAATTAAATGCCTAATTATGACCATCACTTGCAGATCTAATTAAGGCCCAAACATTGGCCCCATAACCATGGTCTCATTCAGGTGAGCTCTGAGGGAACTTGGATGTCTGGAGGTGGGGTCGGGGGGGGCATTAGGGGTCTCCAGGTGGGGCTGGGCAGAGCGCCCCCAGGCGGGGGCTACAGGATGACCTCAGTGTGGCTGCTTGTTCCTTTAGGGGTGGGGTTTCTCTAACCATAAATAGAAAGGAAAATAACACTGTCTGCCTGTAGGTTAGAAATGTGTCCTGTTCCACTGGCCCCGGGTGCTGTGTTCAACATGCACAGCCTTTCACCTGAGACCTGGTCTGACCTCTGAGCCTCGGGCCATCCGTGTTGCTTGGTGGTCCGGCCTGTAGCGGTCCCTGCAAGGACCACATGAAGCCGACATAAGCTTTATGCACGGAGCTCCTCCGCGGGAGTTCGAGGATCCCAGCAGCGGGCTGTGGAGATAAGTCTCAGCTGCTCTTTAAAGGGTTGGCCATGGGCCTCCACACCTGAGCTCAGTAACTCTTGGAAGGTTTAGAAAAAAACGGGTGGGGGGATCTTGGTGGTAGAGGAGGCCAGTGCAGGGGGCGCCGCTGCAGGAGGCTGGCTGGGACTCCGGACGCCTCCCAGTGGTCCCACTCAGGATGGATGGGCTTGTCCGAGGGGAGCGGCGATATGTAAACGGGAGGAGCATTTCTGTGGGTTCCTTCCCAACCGGTAAACTGTGGTCAGCACCCCACATCCATCAGGCTGGGGGCAGCTGTGGCCCCTGGAGCCAGCGGGGTTTCCTTAGTGCCAGGCACCGTGTGCCCCGCTGCCAGCCACTTCCTCCGGGTCTGTTAGCACCCGAGGGGCACACATCAGCTACTTCACAGGCATCTCTGGGCGCCGGCCAGCGGCAGAGAGAACAGGCAGGTCGGTGAGCAGCCACCGCCGCTTAACATTTCCTCGGACCCACTGCAGCTGGCACGTCCGACGCATTTTGAATGTTTTGTAAAGTTACTTGTGAGGAAAACAGCAGAAATGACGCCAGAGCTCTCACCGCCACAAGGAATCGTCGGATGCTGAGAAGGCTCGGCTGCCATGTCTCGCTGCTCTGCGAGGGCCACTGTCCGCCTCCACCGCCTCGCCCTCGCACCTGTCCCTTTGTTCCTTAGCCAAGTCCAAGCGTTCCTTGTTTTCACCCTGTTCGCTGCCAGGGCTGGGACACCGTGCCAAGGCTAGATGCCTGCCATCTTTTCTTCATTTCCCTTCCTTTCTCTCAGCGGGGACAGAGGTTCGGTGTGTAATAGTGCATGTACGTGCAGCTGCCAGGGCTGGGACACCGTGCCAAGGCTAGATGCCCGCCATCTTTTCCTCATTTCCCTTCCTTTCTCTCAGCAGGGACAGAGGTGTCCCTGTTCTCCTGCCCCCACCACACACACACATTCTACAGGATGACTTTCTTCTCTTACATGATTCTCTGGGGCAGTGACCACAAACTCGAATCCATGTATTCATGTGGCAAATGTCTGAGCCTCACATGCACGTCACCAGGGGTCTTCCGAGGGTGTGTGGGGACCTGGGAAATTATTTTCTGCAGGTGCCTCGCTAAGTAAACAATGTGGGTCACCCCGAACCAGCTCTGGGCTGTTGGAGTTTCCTTGGGAGCAGCAGGGCCGGGGGCAGGCTGGGGCCAGGCTCCGCTGTGGGTGTCAGAGCCGGGGAAGGCGCAGGGCACAGAATGTGGGTCACCCCGAACCAGCTCTGGGCTGTTGGAGCTTCCTTGGGAGCAGCAGGGCCATGGGGCAGGCCGGGGCCAGGAAGGGCTGGTCAGCCTGCGAGCCCCCTCGGTGGTGACAACTCCCCTCGTTCCCACAACTGACCGCCAAGACCAGGCCTTGGGCCCACTGCCTTCTCTCCCTGATCTCTGGCCTCCAGTCTCCAGTGTGGCCGAGCCCCACTGTTCTGCACAGACAGAGCCCCCAGAGCGCCTGCGGCCCAGGCCCCGCCTCGCCCCGGCCTCACCGCTGCACCTGGCAGCCCTCTCCCTGCACCTTTGTGCTCTCATGCCAACCTGCTCGTCCCGCCATGCAGCCTCCATCACTGACCCTGCTGTGGGTGCTGCCTTGTTGGATCTCCGCCTGGCTCGCTGCGTTGCTCATCCATCAGGACTCAGGGCCGCCTCCTCCAGAAAGCAGGCCACAAAGGCTGGGCTAGAGCCGTCTGGGGGCTCTCCCTCCTCCTCCTCCTCATGCCCACTGGTCTTGTAGAGGTCACTGCAGCCACCCTCAGGCTCGCTTTCCCCAGGTTCCCAGGCGCCTCCTGTGGCCACAGGCAGTGCAGGAGCGCCTGCTTCACAACAACCCTTTATTCGCTGGCTTTCCAGCTCCTGTGAACTCGAGGGGGCGGGCTGCATGGTGCCTGACATCCACCGTGGGCACCATTTAAGGAGCGGAGGGAGGAGGGAAGGGCAGGAGGGCAAGGGGCAGGGCAGTCCCTCTGCCCACTCCACACCGTGTTGTCCTTGCCCGAGGCCATGAGGAAGGCCTGGCTCTGGCAGGATGGTGGCCCGAGGGACCAGCATGAGTGGGAGGGCACCGTGTGTTTAAAAAGGAAAAGCAGGCACACACCAGGGAGAGAATTCTTTCCAATTTATGGGTGTGAGAGTTTGGGACACGCAGCTCTCAGGAGAGATGGGGAATCTCATAGCTCAAAAATGAATTCTGTGAGGATGGGGAGCAATACCCTGGAATTCAGGAGGGCGTGCATGCCCAGGACATGGAACCAACCAGGCCGTGCAGCTGCCCTGTGAAGGCCGGTTCTCAGAGCGGAGGCTCTTCAGCAGGTTATGTTGTCCTGAGGGGGCGCGGGTGGGGCCCACAGCCTGGGGGCACTCAGGAGTCTAGATGCAGGCGGGGCTCTGGGTGAGAGCTTAGGTGTGGGGGCCCCTCCAGCTTGACCATGAACAAGTGGGGATTGGCTCTCCCTTTGTGGGCCCAGTGCCACCCAGAAAGTTCCCAATGCCTGTCCCTAAGACATAGGCAGGAAGAAAAGGACAGCTTCCTCCCTTGCTGTGCAGATAAGGTCAACGCGGCTCCTTATCTGCGCGTTAACGGCTCCATGCCCACCTCTCGGTGCATGGGCACCAGCCTGCGGTACGTCTGTGACCTGCATGGACCTCCTGTTGTCTACAGTGTGACCGGCCGCCTGGGGTCCCCACCTCCCCACACAGGCACCAGTGCCCTCGCAGCTCACACACACAGGACAGGCACGGCCTGGCGCTCCGGGCAGCGGCCTGGCTTTTAATGCTGAATTTGCGCGAGGAGCGCATCCCATCGCACTGGGCAGGCGCTCTGGGTGCGTCTGCGGGAAAGCACAGCGTCCTTGTCTCCACGCGAGCACGTTTCTCAGACACACTCCTCCACGAAGAGAAAGAGCAGGACCCACTTCTGTATAAGAATATATTATTTAAAAGGCAGTTTAAAAGTAAAAATTCTGTACAGCATCATGAATTCCTTTTTTTTTTTGTATCAGTGAACAAAACGGTCCTGGTCGTGGGCGCCGGGGGGTCAGGATCAGCTTCTCCCCGCGGAGGATCTCACGCCGAGCGGCCGGGCCCAGGCACCGCGGACGGACGGACGTCCTCTTCCTTCAGGCGAGGTCTGCTCGGGAGGGAAACGGACGCCGGGTTTGTCTTCGTTGGGATTGAAATGCGCAGGCGATATCGCAAGTGTCACAGGACTAGACGCGCACTGTGTTTGAAAAATGAGGCCATCGGACATATTGTTGAACATGTTCAGGGAAAATAAAACAATCTCGATCCCTTTTCTGAGCCATTCAAAAAATACGATCTGACTTCAAAATTGAAAGCCAGCCCGGCTGGCGTGGCTCAGTGGTTGAGCATCCATCTATGAACCAGGAGGTCACAGTTCGATCCCCGGTCAGGGCACATGCTCAGGTTTCGGGCTTGATCCCCAGCTTGATCCCTAGTGTGGGGTGTGCGGGAGGCAGCTGATCAATGGTTCTCTCTCTCTCTCCCTCTCTGAAATCAATAAAAATATATTTAAAAAAAAGAAAGAAAGAAAAAGAAAAGAAAGCCAGCATTTACGGAGTGCTTCCTATGGACCAGCCCTCTTCTAGGTTAACTGCTAAAACCACAACATGATGGTAATTTGGAGACTCGGGCCCTGAGGCTCAGAGGTTGAGAGTCTCCAGTGCAAAGCTTGGCCCCAAGGCTTGCTTTGCTGGCTTCTGGATGCCGGGACCTCTGTTCCTCTAATAAAACCAAACCTAGTTTCTCATGCCGGCACCTTGCTGCTTTATAAACCGAAACTCCCTCAAAGGATCCGTCAGCCACCTCTGTGGTGTGTCCCTATTATTCAGGCCGAATGGCTGGTGTGCCTTCTGCATGGACTGAGGGAATGGCTGATGCCAACAAGTGCTCGGGGAGGTGACCACAGCCATGCTAACAAATATTTTTCTTTGTGAAAAGCTTGAAAAAAGCGTTTTCCCTTAGGAGTGGCACACATGCTAATTACTAACCTTTTTCTATCAACTAAAGCAGGGGTCCTCAAACTTTTTAAACAGGGGGCCAGTTCACTGTCCCTCAGACCGTTGGAGGGCCGGACTATAGTTTAAAAAAAA